TATGGCAAAGATTTATAGTTTATATTGAAAATGGAAAAATGAATGATTGAAGTAGGTGAATCCACATTTCTAAATTTTGATATCTAAGCTAATTTTTTTTTGGGTAAAAGATATCTTAAGCTAATTAATTGGGTTTAGACTGAAAAGAACGCATTGGATTTAATATGAAAATATGGAGTATTAACCGAATATTCATCTTTGAACTCTAAGGTCCCCTAAACCATATTTCTGTATCTTTCTATCATTTAAATTTAAAACCTTTCGTCGAAAAGAAAATATAAACAGAACAACCCAAGAGAAACTAGTTCACACCTCTCACATCAGTTCTAAAATATAATATCCAAAAAATTGTAGAAATAATAAAGGGTGAATTAACTGATCAAACAAAGCTTTTAACTCACATGTACCGAAGGTTAACCTTGGATCAAACACCCAATTAAATATCTAACACCCAATTAAATATCTTTATTTAGAATATAGAGCTACAATTTGCTCACAAAAAAAAGAATATAGAGCTACAAAAGTAAAGAATTATATATATATATACAACGCAGTGACATCGACATCAATAGTTGTAACGTGATGAGCTGTTTTCTATAGTAATCACACATTTAGAGAAATCTCCAGGATGTATCTAAAATGGAAAGAACATGCTGACCAGAGAATCAACCCAAAAATAAGAAAACAAGAAGGGTAAAACGTCATTTAGAGATTAATGAGGGAGAAAATCTGTAATATTAAGAAATTTTATTAACATTAAAAAAAACGTATAATATGAATAAATTTAATTCAAAGCTATAAACCCCAATCTAAACATAACCATAGATCCGCCCCTTTTGACATCGACATCAATAGTTGTAACTCGATGAGCTGTTTGCTATAGTAATCACACATTTAAAAAAGAGGCATAAAAGTATCTAAAATGGCAAGAACATGTTGACCAGATAATAAACCCAAAAATAAGAAAACAAAAAGGGCAAAAACGTCATTTACACATTAATGAGGGAAAGAAAAAAATCTGTAATAGTCGGCACCTGCAGCACTATAAAAGGCAATTAGCTATTTGGTTTTCTCACGAAAGCCACCTCGTTGATACCGAAGCATATCCTTGTTTTGTTTTTAACCTCTCTTCTCTCATTCATGTTTCTCCTCTTCTAGAAAAAACAAAACAAAAAAAGAAGATGCAGCGATCACGAAATAATTGCAAGATCTGTGGGAACGACACCATAAACTCTTGCCGTCTTTCGATCTCTAATCTCAAAGTTTTATTCGTTTTTGAATCTTCGTTATTTTTGAATAATTCCATCTCTCGTTTTCACGATGATGAGTTGGTCCTATAAGCTTCTCTCCTCCGATCTCTGCAGATTTTCAAATTTTCTCTTTAATCAGATCGTTTTTTAGTTGATTTTTTTGATCGTTTCACGAATTTTTGGAAATCTCTCTGTTTCTTCTTCAATGGATAAGAAGATTTCGTTTACCGATGATCTCCCTGATGGTAATTACGACTAAATATATCTGTTTTTTTTTTTCTTTGATATTATGCATTGTAATTTCGTTAATGTTGAACAATCGAGATAGATAATTTTGAACAAACACAATAGATAGGTTTCGGTGCTGTTAGAACAATGTAGATAGATGTAACGATTCATTGTTGAACAATTGAGATAGATAGATTTAGATAATTAAATAGTTTTAGGGTTATATGCGGTGAGTATGTCTACGAGCCCTATTTGTTTAGGTCTCTCGGACAAGTTCGTTTTGATGTTGAGCAACTAGTCTAAAATTAAAAATTAATTTTTTGTGTCATTGTAGTAATATAGTCGCAGATTGTATTTGTTATATGTGTCGCTACTTGCCATTGCAATCTGCGACTATAACTTGCTACCGTGACACAAAAAAATTAATTTTTAATTTTAGACTAGTTGCTCAACATCAAAAAGAACTTGTCCGAGAGACCTAAACAAATAGGGCTCGTAGACATACTCACCGCATATAACCCTAAAACTATTTAATTATCTAAATCTATCTATCTCAATTGTTACCACCGTATACAAAGATACAAGAGTATCTTTTAATTGAAGAGATTTGATATATGTGCGGTTGAGATTAATCTAACATGTTTGATGAACATTGAATGAATGCAGGGACAATCTCTGCGCTACTCCAGAAACAGAACAATGTGGTGCAGCCTTCGGTGATCGTGATTGGGAGTGGTATATCAGGTCTAGCTGCTGCTAGGAACCTCTCTGAAGCTTCTTTTAAGGTGACTGTTCTCGAGTCACGTGATAGGATTGGTGGTCGCATCCATACAGATTACTCCTTTGGTTGTCCTGTTGATATGGGAGCTTCTTGGTGAGTTTCTTTCATTGTTTGGTGTTGAATGGAACAGCCTCTATTCGTTTGTATGAGCGTTCTAACCCTTTCTCAAAACGTTTTCTAGGTTACATGGAGTCTCTAATGACAACCCCTTGGCTCCTATTATACGCCGTCTAGGCCTCACTCTGTACCGAACTAGCGGTGATGACTCCATCTTGTATGATCATGATCTCGAAAGGTAACCATCTCCTGCCTTTAAGTCTTTGTATTAGTACATTGAAGAAATTGCTAGGCGGTAACTAGGCGCTTGTTGAAGACTATTAGAACCGCTTAAACCAATTTAGAACCTTTTAACCTGTTTAGAACTGTTTAAACTGATTTGATTCGTATAAATTGAATTTTAAGAAAATGTTTTGGCAGAGTTTTAGAATTGAGTTAGTTTATAACAACTTTTGTAAGTATCAATTTGGTTTTTACTTTCTCAGTTATGGACTATATGACATGCACGGAAATAAAATCCCGCCGCAGTTGGTCACTCAAGTTGGAGATGCATTCAAGAGAATTCTCGAAGAGGTAATGCTTTGCATTTGCTTTATTAAATTCTCGACTTAGAATCTTTGTTTTGATAACAAAAGTTGACACATGCTTTGCTTCCTTTGTTGATTCTAGACGGAGAAAATAAGGGATGAAACTGCCAATGACATGTCAGTTCTTCAAGGAATATCCATAGTCTTGGATAGACATCCAGAACTAAGGCAAGAAGGAATTGCCTACGAAGTTTTGCAATGGTACATATGTAGGATGGAAGCTTGGTTTGCTGTAGATGCCAACTTGATATCCCTCAAATGTTGGGATCAGGATGAATGCCTTTCCGGTGGCCATGGTCTAATGGTGCAGGGATATGAGCCAGTGATTAGAACAATTGCAAAAGACATTGATATTCGCTTGAACCACAGGTAACTCATCACAGAGCTAATAAATCTATAGTACTTCAACCTAATCACGTGTCTTTTATAATTTGATTCAACTCAGGGTTACTAAAGTGTCAAGAACACCAAACAACAAAGTGATAGTCGAAGTTGAAGGAGGAACCAACTTCGTCGCTGATGCTGTCATCATCACTGTTCCCATCGGTGTTCTAAAGGCAAACCTGATTCAGTTTGAGCCTGAGCTCCCACAATGGAAAACCTCTGCGATATCTGATCTTGGAGTAGGCAACGAGAATAAGATTGCCCTGAGATTTGAAAACGTGTTTTGGCCCAACGTGGAGTTCCTAGGGATGGTCGCTCCCACTTCTTACTCATGTGGCTACTTCCTGAATCTTCACAAAGCAACAGGCCACCCTGTGCTCGTCTACATGGCTGCTGGAAACCTCGCTAAAGACCTCGAGAAGCTGTCCGATGAAGCTACTGCAAATTTCGTAATGCTGCAGCTTAAGAAAATGTTCCCCGACGCACCTGACCCGGTAAGAAAATCAATCATCATTTCATTGGCACAATCTGTATCCCTGAGTATTAACAAAACGTAACAAAAAACAGGCTCAGTATCTTGTGACACGGTGGGGAACGGATCCAAACACATTAGGGTGTTACGCATATGACGTAGTTGGGATGCCGGAAGATCTATACGCGAGGCTAGGAGAGCCGGTTGATAACATATTCTTTGGAGGAGAAGCTGTGAACGTGGAGCATCAAGGGTCTGCTCATGGAGCCTTTTTGGCAGGAGTCTCGGCGTCTCAGAATTGTCAGAGATATATCTTTGAGAGACTTGGGGCTTGGGAGAAACTCAAGCTTGTTTCTCTTATGGGGAATAGTGATATACTTGAATCTGGAACTGTTCCTCTCCAGATCTCCAGGATGTAATCTCTCTCACTAATTTTCTATCTTTCTTTTAGTTTTCTGCTTAAAACACAAGCAAGTGTCCATTTTTTTTTGCTATCTGAAAACAAATAAACATTTCGCTTCTGAATTGTTGAAGTGTTACAATGTTATAGTTTCAACTGTTTATTGATCAATATTATAGTCTTTTATAGTTTCGACTGTATATTTTCTATGGAGATAAAGAAACACAAAGCTTTCATACATATTTTGACCCCTAAAAAAAGCTTCAGACAGATGTGCTTTTAGTCTGATTGGTCTTATTTAGGAAATTCACTTGTTGATTTGGGCAAATCTTGCGGGATTAGATCAAAGACAAGAAGAGCATCCTCACAATCACCAGACTACATCTGGCTCCTCAATTTGACGTCAAGAGAAATACGTCTACACTTGGTATAAATTCAACCAACACTGAATTCACCAACTACTTGTTGTTTCACTTATGTTTCTGTATTTCTGCTATTGTCACACCTATGCTCAATTGCTTATTTTGGATCACGGATTATATTTCAGAATGATGTTCTGTTTCGAAAGATAAATAGAAAAATCAGTTTAAAAAAAAAACTTACAATTAAACCGAATATATATGATTTTTAATAAATAAAAGTGCGGTAAAACGTTTTACTTCCAATAAAATATTTAATAAATTAATGCTTTCCGTTTAAGAGAAAAAGTAAAAATAAAAGGTATTATTCTCTTTATTTTAAAAACATGATATTATAACACATGATATGATTAATATGATATATGTTGTGCTTTAAGTATGCTTAAGGTATTTTTGGTAGAAATACATGGATGAATATGGCTTTAAAGCCTAGAAGTAACATGATCAACACCACGTCGTTGTACTTTCTTGGAACCGACACCGTCCTCATCGACTACAAAAGCCTTAGCGATGTCTCTCAGTTTAGACTTGATGATCTTCCCGTTACTGTTCTTTGGCAGCTCTTGAAGGAACACAACCTTCCTTGGACACATAAAATGTGGCATATTATCACGACAATACTCAATCAAATCTCTTTCGCTCGTCACGAGTTCCCCCTCTTCACGGTGTCCTTGTCTAATAGTCTCAACAACTTTTAAAACAATAAACGCACACGGAGTTTCACCCCAAAGAGGATGAGGCATGGCCACCACAGCAGCCTCGAGCACTTTTTGATTCTCGTAAAGGACTTTCTCGACCTCAATACTGCTGATGTTCTCACCTCCCGAGATGATAATGTCTTTGGATCGGTCTTTGATCTCTAAGTGCCCATCAGGATGAATCACACCTATATCTCCTGTGTTGAACCAACCGTGTTTAAACGCTTCGGATGTTGCTTTAGGGTTCTTTAGATAGCCTTTCATTACACTGTTGCCTTTGACTACGACCTCTCCTATTGTCTTCCCGTCGCGTGGGACACTCTCCTGAGTTGTCGTGCTCTTTACGTCAACGTCTCCTAGCGTTATGTTTCTTATCCCTTGCCTTGCTTTTAGCTGCATCTGTTGAGGCTCTGGTAGTCTGTTTAAATTGTGTAGAAGACATTTTTATCAAATTTTTAAGAGAAAATAGTTTTTTTAGGCCAAATAGGTTTGGACTCTGTCCCTTTAGTATAATCTCTAGTACTTTATGTTTCATTAGGCTAAATATTTTTCAAAGGACAATAATGTCCTTAAATTCACGAAAGAAACTGCTTTATACGACGGGATCGATCGATCCAGAAAGAGTCGGTCGATCTCAGCGGTCGATCTCGATGATTAAACAAAAACATAAAAAAACACGGAGCAGAAACTGATCGACCTTGCTATATTTTCGGATCTAATAATATTTATCCATAGAATTCAGATTCTACTAAAGGTAGAACTGTGTAAAAAGATATGAAATCAGTTTCTACATGTAATAGAACGTTGTGAGAATATAGATTCCGATTTCTACTAGTTTTAGATTTAAGTAAAAGTTTAGATTTCAATTTCTACTTTTATTAGAACTCTATGATAAGCGTGGAATGTGTATTACAAACTATTTTAGATTCGTGTTATCTCCGTAGAATACATATTCTGCATTTCGTAGAAATAATGAAAAAAATGGATTCCGTATTCTAATCCGTAGTATACGGATTCTAATTTCGGTAGAACAATATATGAAATTATTATTTACACATTTTTAAAACAGGAAAAAAATATCACTAAATAGATATAGAAGTTTCATCATTATGTACTATTTTAAAAAAAAAATTTGCTTCATAAATCTATTTTTTAATAATTTCGAAAATAAATAAAGGGCAATAGAGTCAAAATTGGTACAAAATATAATTTAGATTAAAGAGACAATGTCTAAACCTATTTGGTCTAAAAAAACAGTTTCCCCAATTTTTAAACATCGCTGTTAAGAAAATTTCCTTAGAGATATACCTTCTAATACACATAAAAGTTTTAACCACAAAAATAGAGTCCAGAAAAAATAACAAAAATTGATTACATTAAGTAAAGAGTAAAAGAGACACCTATACTCTTTCGATTAGTTAATCTAAACTTAGGATTTAAATTTTCTTTAGGGAGGAGGGGAAAGGATTTTGTGTTTAGAGATTAGTAGGTCTAGAATTTAGATTATATGGTATAAAATTTAAACTAATAATAATTTACAAATTTTTTATTACATGTATTATTCAATAAGGGCAACTTAGTTTTTTCTCTTTAATGAGTTATATTTTTGTCATTTTTGTGTGCTATTTTGGTCAAAAAAAAAATTCTATGGTGTTTTAGGTTATTTGCCCATTTTTTTAACATGGTTATATATATATATATATATATATATATATATATATATATATATATATATATATATATATATATTACCTGTTCCATTCGTCTTGCCATTCACAAAAGAGAACGGGTCCGCTGGTCTCCGTAAGCCCATAGCCATGCAACACTTGGAAGCCCAACTGCTCTACCTTCTTAAGAAGTGCAGCGGGTGGGGATGAACCTCCTGTCAAAACGTGAACCGGCCGTGACCTGTGTGACCGGTCATTCCGGTCTCCTTCTAGGAGAAATTTCAAGACAGTAGGAACACAAGACATGTGTGTAACGCCATAAGAACTGATGTTCTTATAGATCTCTGGAGCAGTGACGTTCCTTAAGCATACATTGGTGCCTCCAAGCGCAGCCACGGCCCATGTGTGCGACCATCCATTGGCATGAAACATAGGCAAGGTCCAGAGGTAAACCGGTGAAAGCTTCATCTCCCAGTTCATAATCGTGCTCAAAGCGCTCAAGTACGCTCCTCGGTGGCTAATCACCACACCTTTTGGGTCTGCTGTTGTGCCAGACGTGTAGTTCAAAGAAATAGGATCATGCTCGTTACGGACACAGAACATACTTGTGGACAAGGATGGCGTAGGATCTCCTCTACGGATGAGACCCTCGTAGTCTAACTCCTTAGAGGAATGTTTTGTAGTGGAATCCATATCATTAATGAATATGATTAGTGGCTTAGGTTTTGAGTCGTCAAACGGTAGGAGATGGAGGACTTCTTGGGTCAAAGGAGCAAACTCATGGTCCACGAATAAGATCTTTGGCTGGGCATGGCGTAAGATGATGGCTATGGTTTTAGCGTCTAGACGGGTGTTAATAGGATTCAGTATGGCCCCTGTCATTGGAATGGCAAAATGCATCTCGTACATGGCAGGTACGTTTGGGGACAAAATCGAGACCTAAACAGATATAGATAAATACCAAATATGTAAGGCACCAATAAAGATAAAACAAGAAAAAGAAAAAGCTAGCCCAAGTTACAAAAAAAAAAAATTATGCGATTCATATGCTATATAAGTCATCTTATGATCATGATTAATCCGGTTCTTTTTTTTAGTTTAAAAGTACGCTAAAAACCTTACCTCAAGAATCCGGGTTAATCATGCTCTAGTATTGTTAGAATGGCTAACGAGGAATCTATGCAATGATTAGATATATGCATAAGAAAAGAGAAAGTAAAGAGGAACAACATACGATATCGTTTCGGGTGATATTAAGAGAGAGAAGAGCGGCGGCCAGTCGACAGCAACGGTCATAGGTCTGGGGCCAAGTGAAATGAGTTTGTTTGTAGATTATGGAAGTTCGGTTGGGGTAACATTCCGAAGCTCTCTTCAAGAACGTTATGGGTGTTAGAGGAACATTGTTTGCTTCACATATCGCCAGAATATCCATCTTTTATGAGTGAATATGTGTGTGGGGAATAAGGGTATGCAAATCCACATTATATAATAGAGAATATTTTAGTATGTGCGATTGGTAATATTAGGAAATAATATTAGTACCAATTGGTTAGTGACATGCAGGTCGTGCCTAAAGTTTTGGTAGCTACCAAACTAGATAATGCGATCACTTTGCTTCTATTTTGTATAAATTATAATGCGATTATTTCACATGTTAAGTGTCACTTGATGATCATTCTATATACTTGATCTACATAGATAATAAGATTTACATTAAATAAATACGCATTCAAAACTCCCCTAAAATTAATATAAAGGATTATTTGTGTGCATGATAATAAGTGAGTCTCAATAAACAGATGGCTAGACTTCAAAAGTAAACGAATTAATTAGAAAATGCAATTCAAACCAGAAAGAATCGACATAAACTAAGTCATTGACAAGGACACACCCGTTTGTGATAATAGTTGCTTATAACATTAGGCATGAAATACCGGACATATCGCAGTGTGACCATCCATATGCATTATTGCTTTTATTGTTCACATGCGTTTGTAATCTAAGCATACGAAACAGGTCGTTGTCGTCAAAGATCTGTTGCGACATAAAATTTTGTTTCTTGATATAGAGAACTAAGTACCCTCTTTTTTTGTTCTATGTTTTATAGATCAGAAATTGATATACCTCCTTTTCAAAAATAAAAATAAAAACTTGATATATCTTAATATAAGATTACATCAATGTTTTAGAAAAAGTTAAATCTATGAAACAAAATTACACCATTCTTGAGAAAGCGAAGATGGCTCGTATGAAACATTGTTCATGTAATTTATAAACCTAACAGATATATAACGATAAAAAGAAATTTCGTAAAATAGAAACTTGGAAGTGTATTTGATGTAGGCTACCACACTAATAAAAAAGCGGTAATGTTCAGGATGTTGTCAATGGTGAGGTGATGGAGAATATGAAGACGAAGAAGGTTGGCTTCATGAGCCAACACATTCAAGTTGAGTCCTCGCTTACCCATGATTTGACTTAAGAAGAAATCAACAAATCGGTCTTTGAAGTAATTTTGTTTGATAAAAAAAAGTAATTTTGTTTTAAGTTTTTCTTTTGATCTTTTCTTTTAAACACGGTCGCCTCACTTGGTGGTACTGATATTCAGAGTGGTGCTCTTATACAACTTGATAGAACCTTGCCCATGACTCAGCCACCTTGATTTTGGTTTGATCGGAAAGGATATGGAATGAGCTGATTAGCTCCTAGCTTCTTCCGGGAAGTAAATGGATTAAATGGGTCACATTAGGATCGCAGAAAATAGTGTTTTGGTGTCAAAGAAAAAATATAATCAATCACATAACTTTTTCTTTATAAAAGTCTCCTTATAGTATTGATGGAACATAGTTGCATCCTTAGATTAATTATAAAATAACTCTTTTTATATATATTTTATTGATGATTAAAACTCTTTTTTTTTCTTGTCGAGATGATTTAAACTCTTAAAACAAGTGCTTTTTTTACAGAATGATTTCTATTTAAAATACAGCAAACTCTTTTTCACATTCTTCCACGCTTTCCATTTTTTTATTGTTTGATTCCTTTATTCCGTGTTCTTCTTTTCCCCAACTTTTATTTTATTTTTAATTAGGATACGAATCTATCCAATAGTATCATTGATCTCCACCATCCAACCCTTCGTATCTTCAACAACGCCCATTTGAATATTGGTTAACATGACGTGAAGCTTCGTAGACAATGCTTTTTCTCCTGTTATGTATTTTATCCTGCGGTTACAGATGGTATGAGCCAAATCAGACATTAAGTAACCAAAAATTGAAGATCTAATCAAAGTTATAGTATAGATAAAAAAAAGAAGTAATCACTTTGTATCATAAAAGGTCACACTTTCAACAGCTCTAACGACCACTGCAGTTCCTGTACAGAATACTTCTTCCGCCTCTAATAGCTCATCCACAGAAACATCACGTTCTTGAACCTGTATACATTTGATTAATAATTTACGGATCTTGAAAATGTCTACTTACAAAAAGGTATTTATTATATAATAGCTCGAACCCGGTAGCCGATATCACGCGCAAGTTCGCTTATGCTTTTCCTTGTGATTCCTGGTAAAATGGTTCCTGAAGTTGGTGGAGTAGACACAATATTTCCCTATAAAATGAATGAAAACAATTAGTTAATATTAGGTTAATGCAAAGAACTTACTGTTTTGAACTTTTTATCAATGTAACAATTGTTGTTGACCTTGACAATGAAGATGTTACAAGTAGAAACCTCTTCGATGTTTCTACCAGTTGCCGCATCCAGAAACAAAACATCAGAGAAACCCGCTGACTTAGCTTCACGCAACGATTTCACAACCTTCAAGAGACAAAAATAGATTAAAGAAATATTCCATTAAATTTGTTTTTATACTATACCAATAAACTTGTCCGTGGATATCTCTATGATATTTCTAATGTCTTTGCTTACTGGAGAATAGTTTGTGCAGCTCTTTACACCGCCAGTTCCACCGGTATGGGCACGTCTATACGTATGATCAACTTTGAGGTTCAAGCCTGAGCTGACCTACAAAGTTAATAATCTCAATTTATAAGTGCTACGGTGCATATGGTTCAACAAAGCAATTTAACACATATATATTTTAGAGTCTACTTAAAAAAAAATACATACAAAACGAATCAACATTTCAAAGATTAAATAGCTTCAATAATATTTTTAGTACTATTAAGAAGGCCATGTTAGATCGGGGGTACTTTATTATTTCTATGACTAACACCCCCACCTTGTGGTAGTTTCCAACGGGAGATACGTAAACAAGGAATGTAAATTCAGGTGCTGAAGCTATTCCAAGGACCGCACCACTCCCTATGAGTAGAGGCCTAATGTACAAAGCTCCTTTACCCGAAGGAGGAACCTAAAACAAAAACAAAAAACAAAAAACAAAGTTCCATAAAATTCTTTAACTACTTATAAAGTATTGATATTTTAAATGTAAATTTGTTATGTATTTAAATTTAAAACTATAAAAAGACAATTGACTACTGATTGATAAACACATGGAGTTTACTGTTTCACATCCGATTTTTGCATATGTTAGTTTTAGAACTTCTTGAATTTTTCTTTCCTGTTTTTCTTTTATTTTTTTTATTTTTTCATGTCAGAGAACATTTAAAAATCACCGATGGAGATGCTTAGTAAGTGGTAAATTGGACAAAGAGACACAGTAGCCCATAGGCCATACCCATTTCTTGTTGGCAATCACAGTTTGCTTAACTGCATCTACGAACTGGTCAACGGAAGGAGGTGTCATACAAAGCCTATCCGCACCCATTTGCATACGAAGAGCGTTTTGTTCAGGCCTAAAGAGTGTAATCCGTCCCATTTGTGTCCTGTAAGCCTTGAGACCTTCAAATAGTCCCTACAAACCAAAGGCACGTCCACTTATATCTGAAATTGATCTCTTACATTAATTGTAACATTACAAGCTTTTTCTTATAAATATTTAATCTTAATTCTTTACATATCCGATTCTGGATAAACATAATATGTTTTTTTTGGTTAACAATCCAGACTAAGGGTCTGACTGGTTATAACGCAGCAACTACGGTTGCGGTTGTGGGCGTTTACGGATGCGAGAAATTACAGTTTTAAGCGTTAGTAAAAGATTTAGACGACTACTTCAACGGTTAAAAATTGTTACGTTTGCGGGATACTTATGATTGGTTTACTATCAAATACAACATCGGTTATATAATAAATTAATAATATTTATATTTTATATAACTATCAAAATTTTAAAATCATATTTTTATAATAAATATGAAAATTTTATTGATAATACTGTACTATTACAAAAATTTAAAATTACAGAAAATATTTTTTTGGAAATTTTATAATATAAATTAAAATATGATATATTATATATATATTGGTATTTAAATGATTTAATTTAGAATTTTTAATTGAATATTTTATTTTTCTATATATATAATTTTTTGAAAAAAATATATTTTCTTCCTCCCGCAATCGTCCGTAACCGCAAACGCTATCTGAAACTAGATTTTGAATTTTAGAAATTCAGAGTGATTTAACACGGTTTATAGCGTTTTATGTGATTGTTGTAAAACGCCAACAACCGCAAAATCTGCGTTTACGGGTGATGGTGGGAGAAACAGTCAAACCTTAATCCTATAAAATTATTTCCAGCCCATTTTTATTTTCTTCTCTTAAAGCTATAATAGAGTAAAATGCACTCAAACCCATCTTTATATATAGAAGAAAAAATAACATTACTTTTTCAAATTGGTTCTTTAACTTTTAAACTTTACAATTACGAGAAGAAGAAAAATATTTTCTTAGCGAATACTGTTTTATATAAACAAAGTCACACTTTTTATTTACAAAATAGTTTTATAAAGAAGCTTTAGTTTCACATTTGTCATAATTTTATGAAGATGTTGCATGAATAAAATGTACTAATATGTCATAATTGTAGTATCATATATAATATACTAAAGAATATTTTTATTTTAGAGGAAATAAAGAGGAATATACTATAGATAAATCTATCTCTAATAATATAGAATTCTTCTATTCTAGAGGAAAACATAAAAGAATATATTTGAGATGGTCTAATCAGGTAGGATTTAATAAAAAAATTTCTTCCCACTAGTGACTAATCATGATTGCAATGACAATAGAGGACTCAACTCTAGTATCCAAACTAACTAGCAGAGGTCTTGAACTGGTAGAATAAGCATGAGTGAGTTTTATTGCCAACAATAGAGAGACAAAGACCTGGCCATAGTTGAGAATCCCAGCACTAGGGCTTATTGAAATGTCCCCGTAAGGGACAATCTTCCCTTCTGAAAAGCTCTCTCCTTGTTTGCATTTCGCCACATACATATAATCTGTTGGAATCAGAGTGAATCCAAGCTCTTCCCAGTTAACATTTGCGTACTTCTCGTCTGCTTCACTGATTAAAGAAACCCCAAATGATTAAAATGATTTTGAATAAATAGAAAACTAACGAAGATGGCATTCAACACGGTTAAATGCATATCAGCATACTCAGTACGTGAAAGACACGTTTATTTTTGTTTTTATTTGACGTTTCAAATTTTCTTATAATAGATGATGTTTTTAACCTTGTAAGACAAGATGATGAAGAAGGGTGCACAGCCGGAGCCATTGGATTGAGTAAAACAAAGAAATTAAGAAGGAATATAATTTGAGCTTGGGACGGGTGATGTGTTTTGAAGAAGCTTATCTCGCCTCCTTTTATAAGGACAACAACTAACCCTTCGAATTCAATCGGTCACAATAGATCTTAAGTTTTAATGTGTAAATAACTTTGGAATCTCCACCTAATTTAGCATCTGAAAACACTAAAGCTTAGTTGAAATAAAAACGTCTAGGTATAATATTTAATTATGTATAGATGTATCGCATATTATACTTTTAGGCTTGGTTAATGATAATCACAAGTTCTTAACCCAAAATCTTAAAGGCAATAGGTGAATTGACTCGTCATGTATATTTTTATTTTTTTGATAAATTCTATTCCAGTCGGCCACAGGAAAAACACACTTAGTACTACAGAGTAGACTGGCTACCATACTATCTGATCCGAATTTAGATTACCTTCCAACTAATGTCAAGGGGTGAACCGATCATTTGTTACGATCTATCATGTAAACCACTTGAGCCGAAGCCGTAGCCCAGACATGCCAAATAATGATAATTTAGTTCTTAAGGAGAATTGAACCCAAGACTGATGTAGGACACTAAATTCCAAGAAAGTTTTTAAGGAGAATCAAATCCAAAACTGATGTAGGACACTAAATTCCAAAAAATTACCACTAAACTACGTATATATATTCATATTATATGAATTATTCTGAGATTATGGATGTATGACTTAACACAGTAATATTCCCCTTCACGCTCAGGCATGAAATATCATGATAAATCCAAGCTTTTAATCCAAAAGCTTAAAATAATAAGTGAATTGGTTCATGTTTATTATATATTACTTGAATCTCTATGAGATTATCGATGTGAGACATAACACACTAACAGTTAGTTTAAAACTACATAAAGAGTTTATATATATGTTATGTAATTAGGTGTTTTTCTATACTATGCACAATAATAAATTTTGTAAATTTAAATTATATGTAAAAAATAAAAAAATTAATATTATAGATTTTATTATGTTTATATTAATATTTTAATACAGATTTTCATTTAATTAAACAAAATTTAATTTAAAATAACATTTTGATTTATTTTAAACTATATTTAAGAATATATATATATATATACTATATTTAGAATTATAATATTAGCTAGATTTTCAATTATTTCTTTTGACAAACATTTTTAGTAATAAAAATTGTATGATTATAAAATAGATTTAAAAAAATTTTCAAAATTTTATTATAAAATAGACTTAAATAAATTTTCAAAATTTATTAAATATTTCTATTTCTATTATTATATTATTTAATATCATATTTAAATAGATTTTTTTCTAATGATGATATTTTGGTTACTTCTATATTCTAAAAGGTTTACCAGAAATATAATCTACATTAAATGTTACTACCAAATCATATTTTTCAATAAATTATGTCATTAATTATATTATACTATATCATTTTTAATAAAAGTGATTATAGAAATAACATGCGTTAACATAACATCTATGTAAATTGCAATTGTCCCCAAATATAGCGTTGGTGAATAGATGTAGTAGCTAGATTATCAATGATACTTTAATAATGTCCAATTCTGTTAAAGTACAACCATGTTTTAGTTTATATATATATTATATGCTCAAAGAATCGACGGTCAACATCACATGCAGCATACGGAGGTTTAACTGATTTTTAAAACTGATTCCAGCCAAATTTAAAAACTAATATTATTATTTCCATGGAACACCACCTAACTTTTAACTGTTTCTTAAGAGCGAACGATAAACTTGCAGGGATTAGTCATATATTTTTTATCCTTTTCGCGCAATACGTTTATTTGTCAATACAGGGTTGTTTATTCACACGTTGAGAAGTCGGGAATATTGAGATGTTTAATAAAAATGAATTATTATACATGTATATTACGAAAAGTATACATAACTGAAACACTATCCAATGTTAGAAAATAAAACATGATTAAGAACACTATTGCAAAATATTTTTAAAAAAATTCTTTTGAAAACTTCTCCGAGAAATGTGTTAATCCATTATAGTTTAGCAGAACTCTTACAAAAATCTTCTAACCTAAAAGAATTAAAAAATTTCCACGAAAATTAATAGTGATACAGAAGATTTTTATAAAAAAATGTGCTAAAAGTCCGATATATATGTTACAAAAAAAAAAAAGTCCGATATACTCTTCATATCTAAAAATTCTACATGTCTAAAAATATTTAAAATGATTTTAAATAAGATTCTTTAAAAAAAACAAAATTTATATAAGAACTAAAAAATACGAAAAAGTTAACATATATTTTTATACAAATATAACACACAAAATAATATATTTTATATTATTTGAGACTAGAACTCTTACAGTTAAAATAATAACAAAACTATATGATCACAGCGATTTGATTTTAAAACAGACAACAAATAAACATATCAAAATTTTAATGAATTATATATTACTTTTTAAAAGGAAAGATAAACCATAAAATAGAATTTTAAACTAAAATAATAACAAAAATTATATTAAGTTGAATCTTTAATTTTATTTAGATTTAAGATTTGGAATAGGATCGAAAGATTTTTGTAAGAAAAGAGTTCTCATATCTCACACAGTCATTTCAAATAAATAGTTGAAACCTTTCCAGTTAGGGGCGAAACTAGGTAAAGGACTATGGGTGCACATGCACCTATTATTTTTTTGATATTTGGTTTTTTACATTGGACATGTAAGTGTGGAGTAGCTAATTTGGTAAGGATGCACCCATAGTGTCCTAAGAAGCAGAGTTCAATTCTCTTCTACACTTTTTTTATTAAACATTTTTTTTGTTTTGGACCCCGTCAAGAAAATGTCTGGTCACTCCCTTGGTTATCAACCCAATTAACCTGACAGCTTATGAAGCTTCTCCCAGGAATTCTCATCTTCATCTCAGGAATTCTCAGCTTCATTTCAAGGTTCATCATAATGAAAACTATATAAAACCTATGTTGCAACAGCATGTGTCGTTTATTATGTGGTTATTTGATGATCTTCTAATATGGATAAAGTCAAATATATTTCAACTATGTGATTTTTATGTGTTCATGAAGGAATATAAATATTTATAATAAATATATTATAAAGTTGTTAATATTTTAATTTTAATTTTAATTATTTTAAAAATTTATATGTATAATTTATTTTAAATGATATTATATTATCTCAATTAAAGATGTAGTTTGAATATATAATATCTAATCAACTTAGTTATTATTTAGGTATATTAAACTGTATTTATTTCTCCAAATATAACTATGGTTTTTTGTGCTGAAATAGATTCATCTTTTTTTTTGTATTTAGGCTTTTGATTCTGAGGATAAAAATATGGATTCTTTAAATAATTCACTTTTGGGTTATATTAAGTTACAAATATTCTTTTAAATCGAAGCACAATTGCTTTTGACTCTAGTTAAACTAAACTGGATGATGATTATATATAAACTTTCGTATATTCTTTTAAATAAATTGATATTTATGGATTTTTAAAAGTATTATAAAAACTAAAATGATGACTAGTATAAAATTTTATTAACAAACATTACCGATAAAATTATGAAAACTCATGAACGGATATCAATAATTACAAACTATCTTTCTTTTGTAAAATACTAAGTAAATTTATATTTAAAATGCATAAAATTTGAACTTAAAATATTATAAATAATCATAACAATAAATTTTCAAATTGATTTATGCATTCATATATTATGATGTAGAAATATATATAAATCAAAATAAAATTAAAAATATTAAGCCTTAAGAACTTTAAGTAGTATATTAGGTTTGATTAAAGTCTTTATATTTTGTATTTATGTTTGGTTAATGAATGTGACAAATTAAAACTATAAAAATAATAAATTATGCAAAAATATAAACATCTCAATAGTAGCAGTTATAAAATAATTTTAGTTCATCAATGGTATTTTAGTATATGCTATTTAAACTACTTTTGTAATAATATGAGAAAATAGATTGATATAAATAAAATATTTTTATTTATTTTAAATATATATTAAGCTGTTTGATATTAAATTTTAAAGAGATGATTATTTTTAATCAAATATGTTTTATTCGTTTTTTTGCAAATATAATCTTTTTATGATATGAATATTTACCTTTATATATATTTATATGGAAAATATAAAATTAAAACTAAAATTAAAAATGTAATTGACGTGTTTTATTAAATGTTTTTAGTAATGATAATTAAAATTTTAATATTTTGATTCATTAAGGATACTTCGATACATAATCATTGTAACTATCTTCTTAAATAATATTTTAGAGATATGTTCACATAAAAATAATTTTTAAAAAGTCGATTACCGAGAGGTCATATGGTTACTAACAAAGGAAGAAAAACTACATCCCATGATGTAAAGCAGCAAATAATACGTAGAATTCAGACGGTTTATAAAAATGGAATAGGAAAACAAAAACAAAAGAGAGGATATCCCTCCAAGACAAATAGTAGTACAATAGAAAAAGTGCAAAGCCATATATTATATATTGAACTTCATATTATATATAAGACATGGTAGAAACAGTTAAGGTAACAGCAACAGAAAGCCCCAACTTCTTCAACATAAAACTATCTTGAAGGCTGAAACCTTTTTCATCAACCTTGTTTTTCTCGTTTTTCTCGTTTTTCTCTTCCAAATATTTTTCTTCCTACAGCATTCCATAATTAGTATTGTCCCTGGATCGTTACATTCTCCTTCACTGCGTTGGTTTTTATTAGAGTTGACTTCTTGAATGCATTAATAAGAGCATATGAACGAAACCAATAAATACGCAAATCTTCTCCACGGTCCAAGAATTTTGGAGACAAAGCTGTCAATTCGCGGATTACTCTCATGAACCTCCTCCGTTGGTTTCATCTCATGTCCACAGTTTACGGTACCCGTTGGATTTATGTAAACAATAACGGTTTGAGATGGTACAATCTGTTGAAAGCATGTATTGGTTACCTGACGAGTTGTAACAAACAATCCATGGCTAACCTCAATTTTGTTAACCATCTCAAAACGAGGCGAACTCGTTGCGTCGTGATCATTGTTGTTTATCTTGTCCGGAATATTGGCGTTGAGTTCGTTTTCGGAGAACTCAAGTGTGTAAACATCATCCACATCTCCATTGTTGTTAACTCCCTCACCATCTACAAGTAAACAAAAATATAAAATTATTAGTAAGACAAATCCAATAGCTCTATACTTACTGCATGAAGCTCTATTGCTAAACTTGCTATGGTCCCAAACCAGAGGAGACTGAGTAACTCAAAATAGCAAAAGTCAAATGCGGAACACAAATTTTGATGAGCAGAAGTCACCTTGATGTTCATGACTATCCCTCCGATAACTCCAAATATCTTCTATAGGAACTACCGTGGAGTGTTCTTCAATGAAGCTCTGGAAATTGGAGTACAAGATTAAATTTAGATAACACTCTCTATTCATGTTTTTAATATGAGTATTATTCAAGAATTAATAAGTTCTTTTTAGCAAAAAAAAAAGAATTAACAAGTTAAAAAACAAATTATCTACATATCTTGGGCTGAGACTTTTATCTGGGATCCGGATTCGATCTGAGATCCGTTCCGGAATTAGGACATTCAGGGATGCCCGGATCCAAATCCGGATAGTAAAATCTTGGATCCGTGCAAACCAAATCCGGATATCTTAATTTTGAGGTCTGGATATCCGGATTCAGATCCGTATTTTTTAAAATATATTACAAGTTTATTTTATTATTAATTATATATGATATATTAATATTTATAAATAAAATAAATTTAATAATATTCTTTTTTAATATTAATAATAGTATATGTCATATATATTCATAAATTATGCTTAAATATTTAGTTTATATATTATTTTTAGAATTTTTTAAAAATTATTTTTACGGATCCGAATCCGGATATCCGCAAATATCACAATATCTAGATGGATATCCGAAGCCCGGATATCCGGAAGACACAAATCCGAATCTGGATCCGTCCCACCCCTAATATATCTATATAATGTTTTGTAAGTATTAGAATACATATGAACACCACTACCTTTTCTAGTTCCTTGCTTGATACTCCTACCCATCTCAAGTTCTCAACAATTCTCTCTTCCTTAAACCTCCCATCATGTACTTGCATATCAACAGCCTTCATGTTCGCCTCTACCCATGAACCTGAGGCTTTTTCTCCCGGATAGTAAACGTCTCCCGGAAAGTTTCCGGAAGCAGAAGCAAATTCCCATGAGCCTACACTGTTGTGTGGCTCGTGGGAAGCTTGAGCTAATGCTATGATCTTGCTCAACATTTGATCCGTGTCATTAGCTACATTGGTTCCCAAATGTTCACCATGTGCAAGATCTTCAACGTGGAGTGGTGGCGCTGGCGGCAACATACGATTTTTTAGTCTTGCACACTCGAACGCGATCTCAGCCTATTTTATGCAGAGAATTAGATCAATTAAATTAGTTTCAAAAAAAAAAAAATTACGTTAACTTTCACATTTCTTTAGGATATAAGTAAATGATGTTTTGTTACCTTTGAGGGAGGATATGTGACTGTTCCATACTGAGAACAAAACTGTGACTGTGCTGGGAAGTTAAAAGACGTGTCATGAGACATAAAATGGCTCCATTTGTTCTCTGTCGTTTCCATATCGGACGAAGAAATGTTACCCAGTTGTGTTAAGCCATTATCGGGTGAGACAGGATATCCCGAGTTTTCTAGGTTTTCATACATTCCATCAGAATATAAACAAGTACTAGAAGTAGATTGTTCACTATTAGTCGTTGCTTTCTTCCTCTTCATGCCATGATGCTGTTCTTCTAATTTGTTGGTTAAAGCACTCTTCTTGAATACTCGACAAAGTGCATACGCATCCTGTAATGTTTATACATTAAATTAAATTATAATAAATAAATAAAGCTGTAAGAAAATTAAATATCATCTTTATGAAGTTTTGTTGTTCTGGAACGTTTTATACATTAATTTAAATTATAATAAATAAATAAAATTGTAACTAAGTATCATCTTTATGAAGTTTTGTTATCTACCTGTATGCCTGACTTGGAGTCGCATTCTTGCTCTTCAAGACGGTACTCATGCATGACCCAATCGGTACGAGAGCCATGAGGCGCTCTTCCTCGGTAATAAACTAACGTTTTCTTTGTTCCGACAGTCCGCGAATGTGAAGTAACTTTACGGTCTTTTCCTGTGGCTTTCCAGTAACCTGCTTTTGTCGCCCGGTTAGTTCTTGATCCGTTTGGATATTTCCGGTCTCGAGGACTGAAGAAAAACCATTCTAGGTCTTTACTTGGGAGCAAGGACTTTCCTGTAAATGTTGCAAATCACATTAAGAGAATATTAGGTCTATTCAACGATAGCTTTGAATTCACTTAGATTCTATGACATGGTAATCCAAATGACTAAATAAAGACAAAAAAAGAGAACATTTTTTTATAAAACAAAAGTTGAGGGTGATTGGGAAGCTTCCGAAACCCTAAAGGCAATGTGAAATCTTAGTCATGGTACTTTTTTTTGGTATCTTCTTACCTTTTTGACTGGGTCTTCCAGATTTGTCTCACTATCCACCGCATCTCTCGATTTTATTACAGTCCTCTTTAAGACTAAAGGTAAGGGTGGGTCCATTTAATTTTATTCAAAGATAAAGTAGGCATTTTTTTTTCTTTGATGAACTATAAAGTAGGCATTGTTTATTATTTTTTGTTAATAAAACATTCAAGTTCGATGCGTGTCTGGAGATACATAACTTGGTACGTAAAACAACTTTAAAAAACTAGAAACTAGTGTTAGAAAAGAAAAAATAACATGTATATCTTTGAAAAATATGATTCTCTCTAGGGCTACTCTTATCAAAAGATATGTTCACACAGTCACACTGTAGTTTTTTAAAGTTATTTTGAAGTCCAAAAAACCTTGATCTTGGAATAATTATCAATTAGAAAAGAAACCAAATAGAGTTTTTTCTTCTTCTTTTCTTATGCTATATTGCCTCATATATTCCTGTAGAATGAGAAACAAAACATGTCCATGTATAAACGATGTACGTAGACTTTTAAATTCGTATTTTTCTTGATCCAGATGATAACAATGATTTGCATTTTAAGAGAACAATAATAAAGGGAAGAGAGATAAATACCGGGTAAATCCCAGGGCTCGCATTTGTAAAGATCAATCTCAGGAATTATCTCTAATTCGATCGTGCGGCCATTAATCTTTCGTTTGAGGTAGTATATGACAAGCTCTTCGTCTGTTGGATGAAACCGGAAACCAGGAGGCATTGAAACAGGAGCCATATCTACTTCCTGGCTAGAAGTTAATGACAAAGAAATATATTAAAGAGATAATAATATGAACATATATAGAACTTGCGAGTTGAGAAAGCGAAGGAGAAGAGAAGGAGAGTTGGGAATATAAAGAGAGTTATATAAGAAAGAGAAGCGTAATATGAGGGTTTGAATTCGATCGATCAACGATGGAACTGTAAGAAAGACAAAAAGAGATTAAAACTATGTAAAGAAGCTGAAAAAGCATTTTGGGTCGGTTGCCAATTGCAAACCCCACAACATCTTTTGCACTTTATCTTTTCTTTTACTTTAATGTGATTGTTTTATCTATTGTTTTATATATTTTCCGCGTAAATTTGATTCTCGTTAAGCTTTTTTTTCTGTTATGTTAAACATATTGGGAAAACACGTTAACATGTAGATCTACTTGTTCTTTTTTGCTTATACATGCGTTAATATGTAAGGAATATATAATGTATTTGCTGAATTCATTTTTTGAAGACAACTTGGTGCGCCTAATTTAGCTCGTGAGCCATATAATTAATCGTAATATGTGATTTGATTTTTGGTATAGACCAACAGTACGAGTTTCAACAACTAGATAAACCATCAAGTTTGGTTGATCAATTCTGTTGTAATCCAAAATTCCAAATACATAAGTAACTTTTATTTCGTCTACATGGAAGTTTCATGCGTCGCTGTTTTTTTTTGGGTCCACGACTAACCGTTGACGATACTTGTTTCAGTTTATATATCAAAAACTCTGATTCAGAATTTTTATCACATCTATCACAGACTCAAATATGTGTGCAAGCCGAAACTCGCACAAACAAAACTTATTAAAAAACGTAATTTTTTAGGTAACCTAAATTTCTGCAATAACCAACGATAAATAATCATAGGCAAGATATGCGATGAAAAATATTCTAAGTGGAAAATGTGAAGATAATATGTAGGCTCATTAATTATTCCAAATTCACGCAGAATCGTATAGAAGAAGATCGTCTAAAAACGAGATTACAATAGAAAAATATCCAAAGGCAGCAAAGCTTCTAAATTTTAAATTCTGCTAGACTAACCACATATGTCTAAGACCATGATTAACCCGATCTCTTATGATGAAGTTCTTAGCTTCGGGTAACAACCGTTTCTTAATTTTTAATTAAGTAAAGTTAAGAATCGCCTCTTAAATAATAGATATAAGAATCGGTTCTTAGTCGAAAAGTGTAAAAAACAAAAAATAAAAAATGTCAAATCATATGTTAAGAATCGCAAATTAAAAAATCCGGGTTAATCATGCTCTAAAGTTCTTATGTGATTCATAAATTGTGCGTAAATAGTCGAAATTTGTAAAACCTAAATTCTAAGCTAAAAAGAATTTCTGTAGCAAAATTTTGATATCTCCCCTCTTTTGCCTCAACCCTGTTCATATTTCCCTAGATTTTTCCTATTTTCCAAGATTTGAATTTGTCTTCTCCAATAAAAGTAAACTGTTCATTAATATGGGCTTCATTACATATTAAGTTGACACTGGCCGTTTTCGTGTTTTAGACTGTTTTACGAATTACGTATTTTAACAATTTTTCCAAAAAATTGTTAAAATAACTCTGAGCTGCAGATTTTTGTGTCGTTAGTTTGCGAAATGATAAAATCATTTTGTTTCCTCGAAAATATATTTGGTGTTTTAAAAGGTAGATCAACAAAACAAAACATTTAACTTAATGTGAATGTTTTATTATTATTTTAGCTTCAATTTTTCTATTTTCAAAAAAAAATATTTGAAGCTATTTTCAAGATTTTGGATATGAAGATTTTCAAATTTAAAGACGATATCTTAGACTTCATTAACAAACTCCAACTAAGGTCAACTATGTAGACTGCCAAAACCGGTAAAACTTCAGTTTCACCAATATATGTTTATTTTTTGTGGGGTCTGTTTGTTAAAATAATTCATTTTAAGAATTCACCTAATCTTCTTTTCCATTGAAATATTATTTTTCTAAAATTTCATAAATTAATTATAAGATTAAATTCATAAATAAATTTCTTAGATAGGTCTGATCTTAAGACTTCATTATCTCTTGCAAATATCTTAATATTATAGTTTTCAGGTATTTTGTCTTAATATTATAGTTTTCAGGTCTTTTGTTATACAACGATAATTGTAATTTAACAATCGATTTAGGTTAGTTTTGCTTTCAAAAGTATGCAGACAATGTATTTGCATTTAAGTTCAAATTATGTGTTTTATCCGCACATGCGAATATAATTATTTAATAATTACTTATTAATACATGTATTATTAATTAAAGATATAATATTAAATTATTATTCATATTTTCATTTAAAATTCTTACTTATCATATATTTTAAAAAATCTTTGAAACATTACATTGATTATTAATATAATAGATAAATCTTAGAAATCACACAATATTCTCTTTTCAGGTATATAGAATTACTAATTTTTCTTAATATTTAGTTATTTGTTGTCTGTTTTTTTCAACTTTTAACATTTTTATTAAAAGATATTTTTTGGGATAACAACATAATGTATATAGGAATTATATATTTTTTTTTAAATAGATAATTTTATTATTATTAATTTTTCTTAGTTATCTAATTAAATAAAATTTTAATTTTTTATAATTTATAAATTTTATTCATCAAGGATACATGCGATATTAACTAGTCTAATTTTTAATTTGAGAGATTTGTTGCGAAAAAATAAAAAAAATAATTAAATAATAGTATAGAATTAAAGGCAAATTATCTCTCATTAAATACATTCTTAATTATGTCAAATCTTATTCTCTGGCCATGTGCCAAGAGTGCATAAGCACATGGTCTACGTTTTTATTAAAAAAAAATTGTGGGTAAGGTCGTAAATTCTGATATTTTACACGAAAAGGGCCCAGATTTCATAATTTACGGATATAAACTTAACATTTGGTTAAGAAGAAAAAGTCTGCGCAAGGCCCATATTAAATTTGAGCCGGGCCTGCTATTCAGCCATAACCGTCATCATAAAGAATAAAGACATGCATTTCTTTCCGAATGTTGTTATGTTTCTATAACTGTAGAGTGTAGACCGTGAAAATGCAGCCTTGTTCAGAACACTGGGACTGACATCTGAGTCGGACGCATCACGCATGGGGGATTGGCTGTGGCATGTGCTCCATTCTAGTTTTTTTTTAGTGTAATAATATATGAATTTTTATTTAAATGTTCCTAGTAATGTAAATTTTAGTCATAAACTGTAGAGTGTGTTACATCCATACTAGATAAAATTTTGGCGCATAAACATTTGAGGTTCTTTAAACTTATTTCTGATTTGAAACGTGACAAAAACAATCGTGAATACATTATATTTCCCGTTAAACAACTGCTAATATTCCACTAATATACACAAGATCTTCCAAGAAGTCAAGAAGGTTTATTTTCCAACGATATAAATCAAATTATATATATTTCATTTATAAACCCTTTTTCAAAAAAAAAATATTTATATATTTAGATATGTTTTTGAAAGACAAATAAAAAGAAATGGCAATCATGAGTTTTAAAAACTTGAAACGTCTCCTTCCAACTGCTTTGGATGAAATTTTGAGAACGTTAGGTTTGCACGACTGTTCTTCTCTTGAAGAGTCTATTCTTTGTCAACCATCAGAAAATTATCCATCTGATCTGTAAGGCGACAATGACACTCCTAGAAACAAAAATCCATTTTTTTTCTTTTTAAGGTAACATTCTATACATTTTTTAAAGAAATGTAAAGGTATATAGGACTTTTCTTAATTATGTAATTCAAGCAGTGATTTTTAGTAACAGGCTATTAAATATATGAAACGTTGAATGCTGTCATATGTACTTTGAATATAAATTTAGAATGAAATGATATTATATATAACACAAACTACGTTTACGAAGTGATATACTTCTCCCTTAAACTAAACTTTTAACATAAAATATTTTAATTTAATGCATTAGACTCTCTATTTACAATACTGATAAAATAAATCGTTAGTACCATGAATTTTTAGTTTATAGGTTTCTACCATAACCAATTTTAGTTAGAGGGGTTTAACAATAAAGATATTTTCTACCCTAACTCAAATCTATAAAATTAGCACTCCAAACAAATTATGCAAATAGACAAACTATATATGCTTTAAATTCATACTATTTGATATTATTATTTCCAAATGATATGCTTTTTCTGAGTTTGAACTGAATCTGGTGTTTAATGTATAAATATCTTAAAGGTGATTAAACATGTAATCTCGAATCTCGATAAACAAGGACAAATGAATATGATTAAATGCACAAAATTTCGTATCCACATCATTACTAACTCGACCCCGTCCTTCCATTAAAATGAAAGTAGGGACAAAAAACGGAATAAATTGATAATAATGGGGTCTAAAAAAATAATACCTGGAAATCCTAAAATAATACAATAAATAGAACCCTCTCCCTCGCTCAGCCCTTTTCACCTACTCCAGTCCCACCACCATCGACGATCTCTCTCTCCCGCCGGAAAACTTCTCTACTTTGTAGATCTCCGACGATTAAAACGTCCAAACTGATCGTATAACTAACGAAAAACTCATGGCGTTTGAGAAGATCAAGGTTGCAAACCCCATCGTCGAGATGGATGGTGAGATCTCTTTTTCTCACTCAGATCTTTTCGATGCGAAGATGAAAACGTATTATTACCTTTTGGTTTACTTAGTTTTTATCGAAGTTTCGTTGTTTTGTTCTGATCTGATAGATATAATATAACCATGTGTAAACTAGTTTAACTTTCATGTTTGGTTTTGTTTTTATTTGGTTCTTTTTTTTTTTTTGAAACACTTTTATTTGGTTCTGAACTTTTATTAAGTTGTAGATCAGTAGAAACCCTAGCTCTCCTCATTTATGATCTAACGAAAAATATCAGATCATAATTTTAGATCAAAGAGTGCTACTTTTCCAGCTATTGACTTTTTTTTTAAAAATCATTTGGTGTCTTTTAGTTACAGTTTATGGCTTTTTGTGTAATAACAGGTGATGAGATGACCAGAGTTATCTGGAAGTCCATCAAGGATAAGGTACTAGAGCTACTACTTACTGTCTTCTGTTTGTGCGCTTTTCTCGCTTTTAATTTTTAATTTCGTTTATTTTCAGCTTATTACTCCTTTCGTGGAGTTGGATATCAAGTACTTCGACCTTGGCCTTCCTCACCGTGATGCTACTGATGACAAAGTTACTATTGAAAGTGCTGAAGCCACCAAGAAGTATGTGTTTCTTACTCTGCTATACTGTGTGTGGAATATTAATCTTGGATGCTTGTTACTTTGTTTTAGGTATAATGTGGCGATCAAGTGTGCCACCATCACTCCAGGTCTGCTTCAGTAGAGTTATTTTGTTATTGAGATTCTTTGACAATGGTTCAGTTTTACTTATTAGTGAGATCTTCTCCACTGCAGATGAAGGACGTGTCACAGAATTTGGCTTGAAGCAGATGTGGAGAAGTCCAAATGGGACCATCAGGAATATTCTGAATGGTAAGAACTTCTCAGTTATATGTTTACACTATTCAGTGTCATTCTATGTTGCCTTACACTTTGTTTTTGTCTCTCATAGGAACTGTATTTAGAGAACCAATTATGTGCAAAAATGTTCCCAAGCTTGTCCCAGGTAATGATCGACAAAGGTCTACTTGCATTAGTAATATCTATCGCCTAAGGGTTCTGAGAATGTGTCTTGTTTTCTCCAGGCTGGACAAAGCCCATCTGCATTGGAAGGCATGCTTTTGGTGATCAGTACCGTGCCACTGATGCTGTAATCAAGGGACCAGGGAAACTGACTATGACTTTTGGTAATCTTACTACCTCTCATTTGGGATGGCACTGTATAATTTTGAAATATCCTTCCCTTTTTTTTCTTTCATAATCATTGGTTCTAATAAACTCTGTAATGTCTTTGATTTTTCAGAGGGAAAAGATGGCAAAACTGAAACTGAAGTCTTTACATTTACTGGTGAAGGCGGTGTTGCTATGGCCATGTACAACACTGATGAGGTATACTAACCACTTACACTCTACAGTTAAAATTACTTGTTCTTTTAGAAATTAACCTCCTAATCAAGTTATATTATCTTTTTCCTTATTTATACAGTCCATCCGTGCTTTTGCTGAGGCATCGATGAACACTGCTTATGAGAAAAAGTGGCCACTTTATCTTAGCACAAAGAACACCATTCTTAAGAAATACGATGGCAGGTATGTCAAAGTTAGTTTTAGTTACTTCACCATATATATAACAATTTGCTCTGTCCATATTTGATGTGGCTTGCGTCCTCTCTTTACTATGAAGATTCAAAGACATCTTCCAGGAAGTGTATGAAGCCAGCTGGAAGTCAAAGTATGAGGCTGCTGGAATATGGTGAGTCGAGACTCGAGTCTTAGTTTTTCTCATCTTTGTCTTTGATCGAGGAGGATCTAAATGATTTAAATTGGTTAGGTATGAACATCGTCTCATTGATGATATGGTGGCTTACGCTCTTAAGAGTGAGGGAGGCTATGTCTGGGCATGCAAGAACTACGATGGTGATGTCCAAAGTGACTTCCTGGCACAAGGTTTGTCTGATGATAAAGGAATATTGCCTTAAGCTGTAATTTTGTTATGTCTCTCGTTAGCTAAGAGTTTTTTTAACATGTGTGTAGGGTTTGGGTCACTTGGATTGATGACATCTGTTCTGGTATATAACATTACACAATCTCTATTACATGGTTCTTTTTTAGTTGATGATGTTAAGTTTCTGCTCTTACAAGTGTTACGTTATCTTTGATTAGGTCTGTCCTGATGGAAAGACGATTGAAGCAGAAGCAGCACATGGAACTGTAACCCGTCATTACAGGGTTCACCAGAAAGGTGGAGAGACCAGCACAAACAGCATAGCCTCCATCTTTGCTTGGACTCGTGGACTTGCACACAGGTAACGAGAAAGAAAAAAACATCCTTCACGCTTAGTATGTAAAGGAAGATGAATATGTAAAACGAATGATTTGAACAGGGCTAAGTTAGATGACAACTCAAAACTGTTGGAGTTTACGGAGAAGCTAGAAGCTGCTTGTGTGGGTACGGTTGAGTCTGGGAAAATGACAAAAGATCTTGCACTCATCATTCACGGCTCAAAGTAAGTCACATAGAGACTTCTTCATTCCACATTTCTCATCAAGATTGCTTCAGTTGATTTATGATTTGTTTTTCGTATTTTTGTTCAGGCTCTCAAGGGACACGTACTTGAACACAGAGGAGTTCATTGATGCAGTTGCAGATGAGCTTAAGACAAGACTCACGGCGTCAAAGCTTTAGAAGTTTTGAGTCTGTTCCTATAAGTGTCTTATCTGGTGGGGTTTGTGAGAGTGATTGGGATTGGAAGAAGGTAATAAAAGAGGGGATGTTTACTTATTAATGGGAATATTGAGAAGGATTTGTTTCATCTCCTATAATATTTTCTGAACATTGTATCATGCTTCCTTGTTTTTAATTTGTCATTGATTTACGTGACTCTTTTCATTGATTCGAGTTTGATATTATTCCTTAGTGTATAGCCTATAAATTGCTCTCTGTCGTGATAAGGCTAGGCCTCCAGATTTAGCTTTGATTTCAAAACAGAGCTGGAGGATTTAGCTAAGTACTTTTATAATATTTCCATAAATCAATGAACAAAAAAAGACATCATGAACAATTTATTAAGCCAGATACCAAAGAAAGTGTAACCAACTCAAATGCCTTTGTTATGATTGTTTTTTTCTTTCTGAAACCAGACTACAAATCCTCTTACTTTCACATGCACGGTTTTTTTAATATATTGAGCGAATTGATAAAGAGTATGTTAGAGGTTAGGAGAAACTGTGGATAATTCAAGGTTCTTAGAACTTTTTTTTACTAAATATTTGTCAAAATAAATAGCAATAATATTCATCGTTTAAGGTGAAGAAATGCAAAATACTGTTCTGGGTTTCGTGAATTTTTAGGGTTCTTTTTTTTCAATTTTAAGAACACAGTTACATAAATAAGCTTTTCTCCTTCAAAGTTGAAGTTGGTTTTGCAAAATATTGTGTGGATGCAATTTTTAGAATAAGATATACGTTTATTTGTAAGAGTAAGAGAGTGTACAGTTGAACTTAATAACGCACAAGAACATGACACCAATTACTCCACCATAAAGTGGAGCATGATACCAACTAATCTTACTTGGCGAGCGTTACAAATCATGATCCAACTACTTCATCACAATTCTCGGGTAGCCTAACTTGTAGGTAGGCTTAATGAATTATATGTCCATATCATAGTCTAGATCAAAATGCAAATATTTGGTATATACATCTTTTAAATTTATGAATAACTCAATTTTTTTCCATAAATTATACAAAGAAAAGACAACAAGAAGAACCAATAGTTTAACATTAAAAATAAGCAAACTTAAACCGTTTTATTATTATGCCTAATTTCTTGTCAGAAATCAGGTCAGAGATAACACTCTTACTTTAACATGCAGCGGTTCTACATAAACACAAATGATAAAGAGTTTCTTAGAGAGCCTTGAGGATATCATCAGCGTTGGAAACAGTGAACTCCCCTCCAGATTCAACGTTGGCGACAGTTACCTTGAGGTTATCAAGCAACAGAGCAAATCTCCTTGACCTAACACCAAGACCCTTGGCCGTGAGGTCAAGCTCGAGTCCAAGAAGCTTCGTGTATTCTCCTGAACCGTCTGCCACAAACTTTACATGCTTGTTCTCTGGGTATGACTTTCCCCATGCCTTCATCACAAACGGATCATTCACTACAACAAAAATAATACAAAATTATGTTGTTAATATACTTTTGAATATCATAAGAATACACACAGATTATTTTTTCTTTTTTTGATGATTCAGAAGTAAATACCAAGCCCAAACAGACTCAAACTACTCGGTGCGTGTGATCCATGGGTAAGCTCACGCACCAGCCTTTTTTAATGGACCGAAAGCAAGAACTTATATCCATATGGATGTCCAGAAACATCATGATGTAATTATATTATTATTAATACTATCCACAGAATTGATGCGAGTTTATATTTTTTTATTGTGGGTTATGTGGGTTGAAATTTTAAATAAAAAAATGACTCAACCAACGGCACCTCTGGGGCTGGGCGGCGGGTTTAACCCGCAAAACCCAGCCCTACTCATAGAGATAATATAATTTGGTTTTTACCAACACTTACCACTAAAGCAAATGATTTCGTCAACACCCTTTGACTTCAGCTCCTCTGCTTTCTCAATGAATCCAGGCACATGCTGCATACTAATCCATGGTAAAAAACAAAACACAAGCCAACAGTTTCATCAGCTTAAGAGAAACAACTAACTTGAGGATAGATCTGAAAAAACTAATCTCAGAGACAAGATCTCAAACACCGAATAAGTCTTCTCGGATCTATTACAAGGGAAAGGGTAGAGTGTGTGGAGGGTTTTTACCTGCAAGTGGGGGTGAAAGCACCAGGGACACCAAAGAGGATGACCTTCTTACCGGCGGCGAGGGTGTGAACGGAGACGGTCTGGAGCTGATCGTTCTCGTCGAAGAAGGAGATAGATCCGTCAGGAACAACATCGCCGACAGCAATAGGAGCCATGGAGGAGAGCTGAGGAGAGATATAAGGAGTTTTGTCGGAAGTGGGTAGGTAGATGCTGTCCAGAGAGTTGGACGTGAGAGAAAGTAAATATATAGGAGTGTTTGGATAAGTAATCACTCTGTCCATCCGTAATTAAATCTAACTATTTACTGACAGGTAAAATTCTATTGGCTGGGAATTTATGATTCTTGACCAATACTCAACTAAATATTATTCCAAAAATACAACAATAAGAACTTGGTAGCCAAACCTTTCCAAAATTAAACTTCTTAATTTCCGAGAAAACTAAGATTTATCTTCTCAGTGAATTCGGAATCTTGAGTATTTAGAAAATGTAGATCTTGGTAGTCAAACCTTTCCAAAATCAATTATCAATCCTTTAGAAAATGTTTCTTACCCCCTTCATAAAATAATTTTGGATCCTTCAAAAAATACTTGTAATTGATTATGAACCCTTTAAAAAAATTTTTAACACATCAAATTCTACACCTTTAAAAAAAAAATATCATTAACCTTTCCAAAATATTTCGGAGTTCTCCAAAAAATATTTTGAATCTTCCATAATATAGGACTGAACCCATCAAAAATCAGTTCTACACCCTTCAGAAATCTACTCTAAACCTTGCATAATTATACTAGAACTTTTTAGAATCAGCTATGAACCTTTTACAAAATGTTTCTAATCTTATAAAAATAATTTTGAAATCTTCAGAAAATGCGACTAAGTTTCATAAGCATAAGAAATTGAATTTTTGATGATTTAAAAATTTATGTCTAACAAATTAAGAGTATTTTTCTAAAGGGTTCAAAATATTTTTCTGATGGGTTCAGAAACAACTACAAGCATTTTTTGATGGGTGCGAAATTATTTTCTGAAAGGCTAAAATAAGTTTCTGTAGGATTCATAATTGATTTTTGAAGAGTTCATTATTGATTTTTGAAAGGTTAAGAATTTATTTCTGAATGGCTGAGACACTTTCCAAAGAATTCATAACTGATTTCTGAAAAGTGTAAAATTGATTTATGATGGTTTAGAATTGATTTATGTTGGGTTATTAATATTTTTTTGAAAGTTTAAGAATAATTTTTTGAATGGTTCAAAAAAAACTACAATATTTTCGGAAGGGATTAAAAAAATGAATTCTACTGATTATGTCTTGAATTGATATGTCGCTACTGGTCATGGTTTTGCTCATGAAACTCATACTTATTTTTCAAAGGGTTCGAAAATATATTTTGAAGAGATCAGAAACATTTTTTGAAAGGTTATTTTCGAAATGTTCATGATTAATTTTTGAAGGTTTTGAATTTATTTTTTAACAGATCAGAAATATTTTCTAAGAGATTCAGAATTAATTTTCGAAAGGTATAAAACTATCTTTTGATGGGTTTAGACCTATATTTTGGAGGGTTCAAAAGCATGTTTTGGAGATTTAAGTGATCCATCTTTTCAATGTCAACATATACGAGGATAACATCAGGCAAGTGAAGTATAACAAGCAACAAAATATTTAGTGATCCATCTTTTCAATGTCAACATATACGAGGAAACTGTTCATTCCAAAAAAAAAAAGAAAAAAAAAACCAGAATAGTTCAGAGCTTTCTCTGAAAACAATAAAAACAGACCCAACACTCAAAGCACAACGTAAACACAGATTCGAAGCTATACAAACCCACAACAGAAACCCAATACAATCAATGTTACGGAATGGGCTGGACAAGAAGATAAGAACAAAACCCAATACAATCGACTAACCAACTCAATAAAACAGATAAAACCCAATACAATATACATAGACATCACTGAGACTGGAGATATCAACGTCAAGACATCGCCACTCAAAAACTCAAATACAATCCATAAGAAAGAAACCCTATTAACTTTGTATTGGAAGCTAAGTGAGTTCACTTCACTTCACATGCACCATTACTTGGAACTGGAACAGTAAAGATTCTGTCAACGATCCTGGACATATCTGAATGAGCCATATAATCCGCCAATACGTTCAAAGCGAAGATATAAATGCATTCAGGTAGAAACATCCACAAATCGGCCGTATAACTCAGGGAATCCAAATAGAGAAGACCCTCTGTTAATTTGTCCTAATTCAAGTATACAGAATAAAATACAAATTAAAAAGAGAAACAAAGTATATTCAGAAGAACAAGAGAATGCTACTAATAATCACAGTCTCACAGATTCAATTATTCAGTTGTGTTATCCACCTTTCATCTACCTTATGAAACAATAGTCAAAGCTCAACATCTTAAATCGCTTCATGAGTTAGGAAACATTACCAATGAAACAGCATCGACTTACTGTAATCACAATACATATTGCTACCAAGAAAATTTCACATCCCCCAGTTTTTCTCATTGGCAACACACATCTTCAACTCAACCTTATAGAAACCCAAGTTCAAATGAACAAAACCTACATAGTAGTAACAAGTGAATCTCTCCCGTAATATATAAAGTCTAACACTTTCAATTGCTAAGAGAAGAAAAACAATTAAAACCAAATAAGTTCTCATTACCAAACCAAAAGTACACTACAATCTCTGCTTCAATTCATCGTACAAAACACAGTGAAGCTAAACAAAAACCTAACCATTGAGGATTTTCCAAAAAAAAAACACATTATTACAAAGCAAAGCTTTTAAGAAAACCAGGATCACGTTTCGCCCTCTCCTGAAACTTCTTAAACCACCGATCCAAAATATCCATCGGAACCACCAACTTACTCCCATCAACCCCACAAAACGACTGCATAAAGTTAAACAGATTCTCCCCGACCCTCATCGCCAGCCTCTCGATCCTCCTCTCCGCCGCCACGTCCAGCGACGGAAGCGCCGCCGCGTCCTCCACCGAGATCCCGATCTTGGCCGACAAGGGAGCCGAGTCTCCCGCCGTGAGCTGCATCTGCGCGGCGCTTCCGGGCTCCGGCCAGTTGAGGGAGAGGACGGCGGAGGGGCGGGAGAGGGTGACGGCGCCGCAGAAGGAGAAGGCGGAGCCGGGGGATTGGAGGTAGACGGCGAGGGCTTTGTCGGGTGGGAGAGTGAAGTTGTTGAGGAGGAAGATGCAGAGGTCTCCGATTTGGTCGTATGCTTCGCCTGCAAGGAATTGGTTAAATTAGGGTTAAATTAGGGTTTTTTATTTTGTGATTGGGGAGAGAGGGGACTTACCGACGAAGTGGTTCATGTCGAGGATCCAGTGGAGAGTGTCGATTTGAGTGAAGGTTGATGTGTCGATTGGGAAACTCCGGTTTGGGAAGACAACGCCGAACATTGTGTTTTTTGTTTTTTTTTTTGTTGAAGTTGTTGAGTTTGAGTTTTGAGACCTGAGTTTGGTCGGGTGATAAAAGGACGAAGAGAGTCGAGATGATTCTAGAAGAGTTTGGGAAGGGAGACTCTACTGTGTATTAACCGAAGAAGAGTTTAGGGGTAAAACCGTAAAAGTGAGATTAACACAGAACTTCAACGATTCAAGCGGAACCCAAAAACGGAGTTCGATACGCTGAGCTAATGGGCCTCCTCTCACAAACCTCGAGGATCCAAATGTTGTCACTCTGCCTAATGTATCAGCGAGAAATGATCAATAGATCTCGAATCAAAGATATGTCGGGCAGACCAACGCTAACCTCATGAGCTCAAGAGTACATATGGTCACTAGTTCAGCACTCGACATAGATGTTTATAAACGATCTTTTAGGCACGCAATAGCTAGAGTTCATGTCAATGACAAAGAAAAAGAAACAGACTACGGTAGAATATTCGTCGAAAAACCTTAACAATTCTCCCTAATAACGCCCACTTTCCTGAAACACTTCCCCCGTTTCCGTCGGATAGAAACCTTTTGAAGGCGATCTGTAACAACCCAAAACTCTCTTATGGCCCATCTAAGGCCCATTACGAATTTGCTGCGTTTTTTTAAGAACAAATACACACAATGGCATGCATCACCCTCCTCCATCAAAAGCTTAAACCTAAAGCACCGTCTGTAAATTTGTTCCCGGAGAAGTAGCAAAACCAAATAACAAATCACAAGATCATACTAAACTTTGGTTAAGAAATTTTGAATCTCTAAGCAAAAAAAAACATGATATCATCAGTAGTTATATCATATACATTAAAAAAAAATTACTATTGCAATTTGCAAGTCTTTCAAAACCTAAAAAACGTTTACATAAAATTTTGTTATCCCTGATAGCGCGAATATTTACGTAGCGATTATTAACAAGTGCACACTTTTATACTTGATATCAAATACATATCCTTTACCAATACACATAAGCAAATACTAACGATAGTGACCATATAACGAAAGCATATTAGAAACGGTTTGTGAAACGCTCACTGTACATAAATAGAGTTATGAAGCTCGTGCAAGCAAATTAAGAATCCAAATTCAAAAAAAAAAAAGATAGCTCAAAGCTTCAAGGTTAGATCTGGAAGAGAACTCTCCATATCCATTGCTTGTTTGACCTCCAAGTAATCCATTTTACTTCCACCTAAATTACCATTACCACCCGCTTCAGACCCAACCGCATCTCCCGCGTGCCTGAAACTCCCTGGCCAGAGAAGCTCAGCCTCGTCGTCCTCCACGAAAAAAGGTACGCAGTTACTGAAATACCCCTGGTTAAACCTGGCAATGTTTCTAATAACAGTTTCTGTTGTTGGCCTTGCAATGCCGAGGTCGTGGGACGAGGCATGCGCCCTTATTCCCAAAGTCCTGAACGATGTCATGTTACCGTTTCCGCTTCCATGAAGCGGGAGGCATGAGAGAGCGGCTGCTGTTGCAGCAGCCGCGTATGTGCTATTGGATCCTCTGCCAGGGAAAACCCCTGCGAGACCCATACGCATAGCGCGTTTCGCGAGCGTTCTCTCGCGTTTGTGAGCGTTTTGGTGACCGCCAAGAGCCTGAGAGCTGTAGAACTTCCTTTGACAATAGTTGCAAGAGAAGACTCTATTTGATACAGATGGTTGTTGTTGTTGCTGCTGCTGCTCCGGGTTGCTATTTTCGCTAGTGCCCGAAACTGGTAGCAAAGAAGATGATTCAAGATCCAAATTGGTGTTGTTGTTATTGAAACATAGGCTAAGATTCAGAGAGATTGGTTTGTAGTCGTCTCCCAGGGGAGACAAGTTTGAGGCAACTTGGCTATTGGTGCTGTCTGAATGATCATGTTCCGATGAAGCTTCAATCTCGAGGTCTAAGATGGGTCTCATGATTTTAGTAGAACTTGACGGTTGTTGTATATTTTCTGCAATTTTTTTTTGTTGGGAAGAATGTTAAGAATGTCTAGATGAGTAATAATTGAGAAGTATATATAAAGTAATTACTTTAAGAACTTTCTCATGCATCACAGTCAGTTCTGGCCAAACAAAGTCGATAATGCCTTTCAAAATATTCCAATAAAATGAATAATAATCAAGAAAGAAAGAAAACAAGTTGCAGGAAACATTGGTGTGACTATAAATGGTCCTAGTGAGTCAATGAGTAGACAACATCAGAAGTGCCAAATTTAGTACTGACACACCCATCAAGCAGTCAGCTCTTCGAGCAACTTTATCCGTAAGAAACTTGTTAGATTTCTAAATGGAAAAAATATCAGTATTATAATTACAAGATTAAAATTTAATTTTCTTAAATCGGTTGAAAAAACAGTTTAATGACATATGTTATTTGGTTTTTATTATTTTTTATCTTCGTTTAATTGTGAGAATCGCTCTCAGAACTCACTGATAGAATTGCTCTAAACTAATTACATTCTTGTATTCCGTACCAAATTAAAATTTTCAGTTAACCGAACTTCATTTTTTGCAATAAATCAAAGAAGCCAAGCCATTAGAATACTTCTTTTCATTTATTGTTTTTAGGTTAAAGGTTAAATTTGATCCAAATAATTTTCTACTTGGCTTGCTTGATTAGTAATCTGAATTTAATAACTATGATAAATGTAAAAAAATCTAAATAGTTGTATACTACATTTGCTTGATTTTGTGTCTTTGACAGGTAAATTCTAAAAAGAAAACAGACAAATACACAAAGAGACGGACAAAAACAGACAAACTAACACAAACACAAAGCAAACAAACAAACAAACAAACAGACAGACAGACAAACTGATATAGCGAATATATCACCGACAGCAACATCAAATTACTTATGACGCAGATCCATCCTTTTAATCATTTCTTTAGTAAGTTTCTTAATTCAGTAAGATCTAATCCCAATATCAACTAAGATTTGTGGGACAGATCACACAATAACTAATTTAGTTAAGTAAAAATAACTAATTTAATTACTTTTAAAATTAAATTAAATTGTCTTCTAAATTGGAAATGAACAAGAATAAGTGTTGCTCAAAAAAGAACAAGAATAAGTAACTAAGAAGACGTTTATATAAACTTAGGGATAAATTACAGTAATATATTAGGGTATCCAATGTTTTCGAGGAAAAGAAAAGAAAGGACGAGTTGAAATTCACTGACAATATTTGACTGACCCAAAACTTTTTAGAAAACAACACTAATAATTGTTGATCAAACATCAAAACTTCATCAACGTTAGATGGACAATTTTGAGACAAAAGTTAATCCAAGAACACGGAGGGACTCTTCCAAATACAAGAGAGAATATTCATACCTCTTAGAATGATGAGGAGACAAAGGCTTAGGATTTGAACGAAGAACTGAGAGTTATAATCAGCTTTGTCTCCATCGATCTCGAGGGCAATCTAGGGATTTAAAATGAAAGATAATAAGAGAGAGAGAGAGATGTGTTGCTTGAGTTTGTGAGTGTTATGTTCGGTTTGGGAGCACAAAAGAGAGGAGAGAAGTGGAATGTATAGTGTAAGATGATGTTTTATTATAATGGGAAAAGCTAAGGTTGCTGTGAGTTTGAGTGGAGGGGACAATGATGGGACGTCTCAGACTTAAGTCAGACTAGAGTCTTAATATATTTTCGGATAATTTTTTCTGATGTTTTATCTTGTTGTCTTTAATAATAACTCATCCTGTATGTTTTGGTTCAACTGGGTTCATACTCAGGGTCCATAACTGTGTTACATTTAACTACAGCTCTGTTCAAGGTGAAAGTTTGCCGTCAAGTGCGGCCAATTGAATCAGTTAGTTGGTTGACTTTTTTTAGTATTATGGGGTCCGAGTTAAATTCCAAGATGTTAAATTTTAAAGACATGATTTACCATCTATTGATTCATCACCAACATTGATTGTGATGATTGGTTGTTGTCTTAGATGCTGGTCATATTCCTATTTATATCTATAACACCAAATAGACAACAATCAAATTTTATTAATTTACAAATGTTTGATTTGTGCATCCGCGCGCGAGAATATTGATTCTGTATTGTTATAACTTAATATTATATAACTTTTTATGATTACTGTTATATATTTTAAATGTGTTGCTATATAATTAATTATGTTTAAAAGACACATACCAAATTAAATATTATATATTTTGGTATAAATATTTAAACTCACCAGTTATTTGGATATTTTTAAATTTATATACATAAGAATCGAATCCATACGAAATTTATAATATTCGAGCATACCTAATTTATAATATTTGAATGGGCCTAATTTGAAAACTAAAAAAACAATACTCGAAGAAAACGAGATGTACCTAAACGATACCGAATGCTCATGCCTAACTAATTCTATAAACAAAAAAAAAAAAATTCTTTGTTAACTGTTTAAAATTTTATTACCAATGGAGAAATTTCACATGCAAATGATTTCTGGAATCAAATATCTATAACAATTTTATGGGCTTTCAACAATAAACAAAATTATATTTCAACAAGTTTTATAAACAATTAAACCATAATTTATAATTTATAGAATTATTTTGTGAATGATAAAACCATGCAGTAATACTAATTATATATACTATAGAGACTATAATAACCTATCATTTGTAAATGTTTGGAAACCATATTTTTATCTCTTCAATAGAATAATATGAATTATTATAATAGTTATTTTGTTTCTATTAAAATCTTGTCTAATATATATTATATTAATCTACGGTCATAATTAATTATGGTTTTATTTTTTAAAAAATACAATCACAATTATAAAATCTACATTCACATAAAAATCTATAATTATTTTTCTACAACAGAATTTTTAAAACAGCAGTCGTTACCAATCAAACCAAAAGTAGACACTTTTCAAAGCAAGTAATCTAAATATGTAAAAGTTTTTTGGGTTAATTTTACGATAAATACGTAGAAGATGAATGATGATGGTATTGTCTTTTACGTTCGCGTTTAAATTCTACAAAATAAAATGTTTGCTAATACATGTAAAACGCTACCGAATAATATAAAAGAAGTAAAATTCTCTTTCCGGATAAGTTTTGTACACTATTCGGGACATTGATGTGAGAGGTGAGATTACTGATTAGGAGCAGTTCGCAAGTCTGAGATAAGAGTCCAAAGTTGAAGTGAAGATCATCACTACACAGAAAGCATATCCATGTAGGACCACGACAACTAGTTCCATTGTTTTTTTCGCAGTGTCCACTACTTACGTATGTTCTTGTCCGATACATATATTATTATATTCTCTTTACACAAATAATTCATCAAACTTTATTAATTGCTCATATGGTCTATGTAGTTTCATGTGAAATTTCTAAATAGAGAATCGGAAGGTTTTGGAGTATAGTAGATGTAGGGTTTAGATTCCTTCTTTAACAAGTCAACTGTTCTTTCTTAGAAGTATGAAAGGATTTTGAATCTTTCATGTAGTTAGAAGTGGGCAGGTTATTTCCCGCCCCTGTATTTACCTGCATCATGATTTGATACGTTCAGATGATATCTTTTTCGTATCAGTTGCTTACTATGGAGAACAAAAATGATGGAGATCACAGTTCGTTGTATCGAGCCTGGAGAAGCAATTTCAACCTTCTAAAAAAGGATAATGTATGTATTTTGCAAATCATGTTAGTTGATTTTTACATGGTTTTGGTATCTGCATACGAAGGATGCAAATTTTAATAAGATTTTGAGAAATGGTAAATATATTCTGTTTTTTTTTAACATGAAATCGATATAATATTTTGCGTTATAATATCTTCAGTGATACTAAATAATGGGAAAAAGTAACTGAGAACAAAATATGTTTAAGAAAATTTGTTAATCAAAAAACATATATATGAATATATTTAGATATGCAATTGAAGAATTCGAAGGATGGTGGCAGCATCCCACCAAAAGATTCTTTATGTTATTGTGTTTTTCTTTTGTTTTCTCCTTATATAAGAAAAAGAGGAAAAGAATTAAAAGTGAAGTAGCTCCTCAGTGCATGGGGAGGGCAACTGAAAATTTCCCTTTATATTTTCTATTTTTACTTTTATTTTAAGAATTTTGAAGTTTCGGAACACTTTTGATTCTTAAAACTACTTATCTTGACCTTTGCTGTGCCTTGGTAGCCTCTCCTCACCCATTGGACCTTTGCATCTTTTATTTGTTTTTGTTCGTTCTTTTCTGTCTTTATTTTCCTTATCACCCAAACTACTTTTTCATTTCATGTCTAATCAAATAATTCGAATCTTTTTCCACATTGTGTGAATAATTGACATCCGCCGTTTGTTCCCTTCTACGTCCAAAAACAATTCCGACCTAATTAATAGTTTTCTTCTACAGATGTTACTATACAAAAATAGTTAAATGTTTTGAATGGTACCAGCATGTCAAATCCTTTTCAAATTCACACAACCATTTACATATAATTTATAGGTGCAAAAACTACCAGCTATTGATAGTTCTGCCAGTCGAACCTCTGTCCATTAAAACAATATGTTCTGGTTTTGGAAGTTCTGAGCTCACTACAAGAAAAGTAAAAAGATGAATCCCTACCGTTAAATACGTTGGAATTTCGTCTGAAATAACCACTTCCAACGAAATTTTCCCAATTCTATCTCATAAAAAAAAAGTTATCGAGATTTGTTGGTATAGTCAACATATTCCTCATGTATTCTGGTAGACAATATGTCAAAGAAATCCCGACGAACATAATTTTATTGGTAAATATTTTCGACAAACTAAATTTCCTTTGAAATAATATAAAATATGTATTTTATTTTTTAATAATATACTAAAACTGTAAAAGTTTCTTAAAAATTTCAAATCTAAACTAAAAGTATATTTTTAAAAGTCCAATAACACATAAAATTTTGTTAACAAATAAAAAGCTTTTAAAAGTTTTAAATTCAAAATTTATAACTCATAGGAAAAAAATTGTTTCATCTTGTTCATCATAATTTGATTCATTCTCTGGATTTCCGCCACTTGGACCTAGTTGGCTGCCATTTGAGCAAAGTTACGGACATGAGCACCTTTTCCTTCACATTCAATGAGATAATCCCCAAAATTCATCTGTGATAGAACTTTGGTCTCCGATTTATCCTAATACACCTGCAAATCGGCCTAGACTTTGTCATTTATCATTTTTGGTGTTTTGTTTTTAATCCACTTCTGTTTTCACGCAAAGATCTGCTTGCCATAGTGGCTCATAGTGTAGTGGTGGAAGGGTGCACAAACTGTTTTCTCCAATCCATAATCTTATGTAAACTCTTACTAAAAAAAAACACACACAATTAGTACATAAATATAAGAAGGAAAATAAATATTGAAGAAATGCACCACAAATCGACATAGTCAAATCTCACTGCCTCGTCTAATTTGTCCTTGTAGGTCGAATATCCATACTTGATATTTGAGTACTCCATTTTGAGAATGATCTTGCTAATCTTATTGTTGAAATTATTGAACCTACAAAAATAAAATTAGTAAAATAATTAATATAAAACAAATAAAGATTGATATAACTGACGATAAAAAAATTGATATAACGCAAAACTAATTACGCAGTGTTTTGCATTATATGAGGAAAGAGTCGAGTCATATACTCTCGATCTGGTTGTTGAACAAATTGTTTAGCAGACATGACAACACACTTCTAGAATATTTGAAGGAGAGGCATGGTGGGAACTGGAGGGAGTACTCCTACAGTTGACTGCTTTCGAAACAAGAAATACCCCTTTCAATAGTAATTCGTCAAAATTACTGAAGAAAAACAAAGAATAAGATATATTATCTGCATTAGCAAATACAGGGACTTAGAGTAGCTAGGAAGGAAACTGTGGTGAGGTTTTATCCGGTTTATGCAAAGTCGAGGCTCAGGAAGGAAACTTACAAGGACTTAGAGTAGCTAGGGGGAGTCCACGTGTCAACCACCTGCTATTTGCAGACGACACTATGTTCTTCTGCTACTCTTCACCTAGCAGCTGCCAGGCTCTGAAACGTATCCTGCAGGAGTATGAGATGGCCTCGGGTCAGCAAATCAACAAAGACAAGTCATCAATCACTTTCTCAAAGAAGACACCGATGGCCACCAGGATTACAGCTAAAACATTACTCAACATTCCTAAGGAGAGAGGTGTAGGGAAGTATCTTGGCTTACCTGAGCATTTTGGAAGGAAGAAAAAAGACCTCTTCACTGGAATTGTAGATAACATCAGACAGAAAGGAGCAAGCTGGACCACAAGATTTCTCTCAAAAGCAGGAAAATTGACAATGATGAAATCAGTTCTCCAAGCAGTCCCTACACACTCGATGTCCTGTTTCCAACTCCCAGTCAGCCTCTGCAAAAGAATACAATCAGTTCTAACAAGATTCTGGTGGGATGGAAATGATCAGAAGAAAAAGATGTGCTGGGTTTCCTGGTCAAACTTAACTCTGCCAAAAGGAGAGGGTGGATTGGGTCTTAGAGAAATTCAAATCTTCAATCAAG